GCGACGTAGATCAAAATGATCCGTGCTATGATTGGTCAAATCTGGAATTTCATTGAATAAAATTTCAATGAGATGCTACGAAATTTCAGATTTGACCAATCATAGCACGGATCATTTTGATCTACGTCGCGAAAGCACCCTAGGGGTAGCGGTAGGGTGCTTTCACATGGAGCGTAAATTGCGTAGCGTAACCTGCGTATCACCAATCACAGGATCATGCTGATAGAACCGTTTCAATAATTCCGTTGAACTAGTCCTGTGATTGGCGATACGCAGGTTACGCTACGCAACTTACGCTCCATGTGAAAGCACCCTGATTGGCGATACGCAGATCACGCTACGCAACTTACGCTCCATGTGAGGCTGGTATTACATTTGTCGTACGACAAAGTTTTTAAATAAGCGTATTGATTGGCTGAAGGATAGTAAAATTTTCGAGTATCTAGAAATTTTCTATTCAGCGGCCAATCGACACGCTTGAAAAATTTGTCGTACGACAAATGTAATAGTACCCTGAAAGCACCCGTATTGGTCGTTGGGGCAAGCAGAAGCAAGTTGGAGCATGCAAGGCGAACAGACCTCTAGCATCGTGGACACAGGCCTTTACGCGTCGCGTCTAGATATTCGTCCGGCGTTTATGGTTGTGGACCTTCCGTTTCGCGTCGTTGTCGGCACTGATCGGCGCTGCCGAGAGTGCCACACCGGTTAATATATTTGAATTTTGGACAGTGTAACGTATCGCTCGATGTTTTTCACCTGTTGCTCTCGATTTTTCATGTGACAGACGTGTGTCTACGTTCTCTTCCAGAATGGTAAACGTGACTGGCATCTTAACACGGGACAGAAAAGGTGAGGAATCGCTCGCGTTGTTTTATTCTGTCGATTAATAGCAGAATACGTACGTATTTACTGGCGAACGACTCGCGGACCTCTGTCACCTCGAGGCGTCCGCGAACGAGTCGTCGATAATTTGTTAATTTACGCACGTATAATTGATCATAATTTCGCACGTGCGCGTGTTCTCATGTTACGCTTATTGTCAAGCTTCAAAAGTAGCAAGTGGCAGCGTATCCGGCAAAATATTTTTAACTTGAGTTTGTTTTTTTCCTCTATCGCTGCACTGGATTGCGCCAGAACGTTCCCTTTCTTCGCTTTTGTCAAATTTCAGACGTTCCTATTTTACTTCCGACGCAAGAAATGTACTAGTTCAGTTATAAAGAGAAACAGACCTGCTGACATTGACAAAGAAACTTTACCTGTATCTCGTTTACATTTTTATACTCTGCACACTGAATACGAACTGCTGAGTATTTAAAGTTGTATATAAATACATTTTAGAGGACATGAGGACATCTGCGGAGGATATGGACGAGGAACGCAGAAGAGATCTGTCGTATCACTATCTTTGTCACTTGGAGGAAGCCAAGAAGTAAAATATAATTGATAGACAATCCATTATGTCGAGTCGTTTCTTACTTATTGATTACATTTGTCTGTTATTTATTTTGGTTCGACTGAAAGGACTTGTATTTGTTAAGATAAAAAAGGATATTAGTGTCTGTTCTCTTCTACAGATGGATGGAAGCCTGCCTGAGAGAGCCGTTACCTCCGTCGATCGAGCTGGAGGAGAATCTTCGCAACGGAGTGTATTTGGCCAAGCTCGGAAACTTCATGGCACCTAACGTTTTACCATTGAACAAAATCTACGATACCGAGCAGCGCAGATACAAAGCTGTCGGATTGCAGTTTCGTCATACGGACAACATAAATTACTTTTTAAAGTGCTTGGAATCCGAGCGTCTACCGTTGGTACGTGCAAATCACTTTTGATGAAATGACGGAGTGTATCAGGTGCAACAGATATAAGACGACGTAGAATTTTCAAATCGAAGGAATAATGGATGTAAGAGCCAAGACAGGCTGTTTTAGTGTCCAAATGATTTTCATTTTTAACTTCATTGCGAAAAATTACCTCGGCCAGGGTTTCAACCTGGACCTTCCTCTCACTAGGTGCGAGTCACCAGTTCGACCACCGAGGCATTGGTGAAATGCCTAAGATACATTTTTCGCAACAAATTTAAAAATTAAAATCATTTATACACTAACATCCTTTATTCCTTGGAATTGTAATCTCACGTCAGAGCCTCATGCATCTTATTGTGTAAAATTTTCATTTTTATAGACATTTCTGCCAGAAACGACAGACATATACGACAAGAAGAATATGCCGCGGCTGATATATTGCATCCACGCTCTTAGCAAGCATTTATTTAAATATGGGAAAGCACCACCAATGCCGGATTTGTATGGGAAAGTAAATTTCTCTGGTACGTACTCGTCTACGATACCGTTTAGAAAATGCAGAGATATTAAATATGAGATGAGTAAAGTGCATTTTGGATATCTGTTTCTTTCACATCCTTTTGTAAATACATTATTCTTGTATCGCGCTCTTTCAGATGAGGAAATCGATACCGTTACTAAAGAATTGCAGAAGCACGACATTCAAATGCCTGCCTTTCAAAAAATAGGAGGTCTATTGACGAACAGCATTACCACAAACACGGCCACTCTTCACGACGCCGTTATCGCAATTAATCAAGCTGTGATAGATAATGTATGTCTATTTGATTTTGTTGAGAAAGCAACTTTGCGTGGCAATAACAATTGAATTGTGTTTTCAGGATAACGATAAGATTTTGCAAAAACTTCAAGGTAAAGAGATGCAGTTGAGTAACGTTAAACCTGCTTACATAGAAAAGTATAGCAAGACATTGGCGGAAGCGAAAGCTGCAAAAACAGAGACGGCACTTAACAAGGTATTTGATTGCTCGCATACGTGTTTAGGTATATTTATTGATCTTTCAATTTATACGATGCTTTTTAGTCCCTTAACGACAGCTACGTAGCGGATGAGTATGATGAATTGTTAACGCAAGCAGAAATACAAGGGCACATTAATTATGTAAATGGTAAGTAAATCAAATGTGTCCAATAAATTTTTTGATGATTTCGTAAAACACTATTTGATTTAATTTAAAAGGATTTAAGGTTATTACAATGAAATCTATATTTCAGCCTCTTGCGCACTGGAACTCGTTGTTTCGTCTTTATCGCACGACAATGCTGAAATAATAGCTGCTTTGAAAGTACCAATACTATCTTTTAAGGTATAGCAAACAGTTCTCCTACGTCTAATGTAAAATTGTTTACCAAAATTTTGATATTAACATTATTTTTATGTATATGTATGTATTGTTCCGCAGAATATATTTTCAGAGAATGTTGAAGATTATAAGGAACAACTGACGCTGATGTTGAATAAATTCGTGTGGAGTGACGTATATCTATCTGAGAGCATTCAGTACTGGACGGATATGTTTCAGAAAGCGATTGACAAAGGAAACGAGAACGCACAACTCCGTCACGAACGTAAGTATTATTTAATATGCTGCATTTTCAAATTTATAAGTTTCGACTATGCAGATATAAGCTGCGATCCTCATTTTGCTACAGGAGAGGAAACTATCAAGCGACTGAATATGGCTTTAGAATCTGCGGACAAGAGAGAGTTTTATGAGATCTTGCAAACCCCGTGTCTGAACGTCTCTCACTGCATCGATGAATTTGCAGTTCCGTTGTATTATCAGGAAATGAAGGAAGATCATATAGAATCTGAGGTGAGATTGCCTATTTACCTGTTGTACCGTATGTTTCATTTCTTGGAAATAAAAGCTAGAACTCTTTTGAAACTATTCGATTTCTTTTTATTGTATCAACTGTGCAATTAATACCAACGATTTTGTTTTTGATTTTTTTCAGATTAATATAAGTTACGAGGACCTGGTTGTTTCTATACCCATCTTATCTGCTGTTGCCGCTATTACCAAGGCGGTGGACACAGGAAATCCAGATTTCGTATATGAAAAGCTATCGAATCCCGACGCACATTTAACTGTAGGTACAACAATCTACAATTACTTCCTCACTGCTACGGAAACAAACTGCTTTAACATGTTGCTGTGAACGTTACAGGGACTGGATGAATTTAATAAAGTGAAATATGCTCGAGCACTAACGAGAGCTCGGCAAGCGAAGCTCAGAGTGTCACAACAATGTTCTACATTAACTTACAGCGACATTCACAAATGCATCGAGTCGGTGAACGTGCAGTGCGATGAAGGTTTCGAAGGTATAACAAAAATGTCGCGTAGAACGAATGATTATGCTTATGTGTCACATGTTATTGAATTGATATAATGACAATTACTTTTGTGTGAACAGTTATAGGGATTTTGCAACAAATTAATCGAGCCGTGGCGGCGAACGACCATGAGGGTACGATGAAAGCCGTAAAAATCATTACCGAAAAGTTTGATATACCTATATATCGGTACGATGCACCGTTTTATTTAAAGTTGCTTAAGAAACGTTTACTTGAGAAAGAGTCTGACGAATCTGAACTGTGGCTGGACGACGTTAAAACCATAGCGAAGAAAGTATCATTAGAGATCCAGGAAATGCAAGGAAGTATGTCATTTTTAAATATTTCTTATCGTTTTGTCGATATATCGAGTTATAGCGTATTCAGTTGCTTGCACTAGTGCGCGCTAAGCGCATACTAAGGCTTGTCCACAATCAATTTTTATATTTGAGGTCGTCTCCAAAACCACCCAACAAAAAAAAAACGTGCGGATGCTATACAGATTCTGTTAAAAAGGCTACAAATTATTTCAAGAGATATTTAAGACGATCTTTAAATATAAGAATTGACCGTAAACAAGCCTTGGTACAATCGAAATCGCTATTAGACAATTGATTCTAACAAATATGCTAATTACTATTCTTTTTTACAGTGATAATGTTTTTGTGCGACATCAACACGTACGTGGGAAAGAATAACATGATGGAAGCTCTCAACTGCCTGAAAATGCTTGGTATACCTGAAAAATGTTTTAATGAAAAATGTAAAGAAATTACCGAAAATTTTAAAGGATTTACCGAAGAATGCCTAGAGAGATGTTTTCTAGCATTGCAGCAGTTACGGAGGCGTAAGGTAGAGCACTTTTGTCATACGAAATATACAATATATACAGAACTATACAAATGCTCTTTAATAAAGGAGTAGGAGCTAGAATGTTAGTATCTAAATCATTTTAATTTTAAGTCTATTACGAAAAACAATACCTCAGCCAGGGTCTCCTGGACCTCCCTTTCACTAGGCGAGCGTCTCGCCACAATAGACTTAAAATTAAAATTATTTAGACACTAACATTCTGTCTTGGCTCTTACTCCTTTATTACTTTGTATTTGTGTTTTCACATTAGAGCCTTATGAATTTTATTAATTGTTTATAGCGTTTTGTTTGTTTCTGTAGCGTGAGGCATACAGTTGCCCATATATTTGTTATACTACCAATGGGGGAAATAAAATTTATGTTGATTTGAAAGGCGGAACGTATGAATGGGAGCGTCCGAGAAATTTTTCGAAAACTTATCTTCTCACTATGGATGATATAAGTGTATGTGTGTGCTCTCTCTCGAAGTATCGTCTAATTAAAAGTACACATCACGAATTATAATCCACGCATTTTTATGCTCACAGGAAACAATTAAATCTATTGCGGAGAAACGTGAGGAAGATTATATGATGTGCGATGAAAAATTGCTCACTAAATTTCAAGCTTGCATCAGAGGATACTCAGCGCGTAAAAGGATCGCTGACAGATTCGCGTATTTCTACGAATACGATAATCTGAAAAAAATCATCACACTACAAGCGTGGTGGAGGGGCGTTACGCAGCGAAAAGAGTATCGCAGACTGTTGCAAAAAAGGAGGCAAAATGTGTTACTGCATCAGAGTAAATTCTCAAATGCAAAAACAAATAAGGATAACAAGAGCGATAGATTAAATCGATATAAAAAATACGTAAGCTTGAACCTCTGAATATTTTAAT